GAGATATTTGCTATTCTGGCTTCAAGTTTTGGACTGCTCATTTGTATTTTTATTCCAAAATGTTATATTATCTTACTGAAACCAGAGAATAATACAAAAAGGAATATGATGGGGAAGGGGGCACCAAAATCATTCTGAAAACCTAAAATTACTTGGTGGCAAAGGGATTGTTAACCAGACTGTCAAGCACACATGTATTTTCATTTTATTGAATACTTGCATTCTACTATTGTAGTATTTTTCCACAGTATATTGTTCAATTTGTGACGTAGCATATTGGGATGACAATGTAATGTACAATAAAAGCAACTAATTGAGATGAACAAATGCACAAGCCTAATAGCTTTTTATAACATTTAACAATGGCGCATCCTACGCGGAAGTCATTAAAAAGATAATCAGTGTTATTCATTTTACCTTTCAGTGGTCATTATGTTATTGTAGAGCGGTGTATACTCTGGTGAGGGGAAACTAATGAGACACAGGTGACAGCAATTGTGGCGGGGCAAACAGTCAAAATTGGCGGGAAACACACAAGGGCAGGAAGTAAAGATCTGAAAGAAGAGGAGAGATAAGTAACAAAATAAAACAGGAAGCACATACATGAAAACATAACTTAACACCTTTGACCTGTTGTGGCATGGAGAGACAAACTCAGTTTGAAACTGCAAGCACTAGCCTCAAACCCCTGTCAAAAAGTAAACTAGGATTACTGCCCCACAGTTGTATTCCACCAATCAGTCAAGTTGCAGTTTACATCTATGTCTGTCCAGACTCATATGATGTCTGTTAATGAAGTGCAAATGTGTCACATCTCAGTTAATTATTAACAACAATTTATGATTTAATATATCAAAAGCTGAACTAATATAACTGCTCCCACTGAGTTATTATTGTCCATATACACCGATCAGCCATAACATTATGACCATAATGGGCCTCCTGGTGGTCATAATGTATTGCAGCCGCGCATACACCCACCCAAACTCTGAGCTGCACTGGTGTGTTCCTGACACCTCCTTTCCTATCAGAACCAGCATTGAACCTTGTTTCAGCAATTTGAGCTACAGTAGGTTGTCTGTTGGATTGGACCACACAGTCAGTGAGCCTTAGCTGCCCATGACCGTGTTGCCGGTTCACAGCTTTCCCTTCCTTGGACCACTTTTGATAGGTACTGACCACTGCAGACCGGGAACACCACACAATAGCTACAGTATTGGAGATGCTCTCACCTAGTTGTCTAGCCATCACAATTTGGCCCTTGTCAAAGTTGCTCAAATCCTCACGCTGTCCATTTCATCACCTTTGAGGACAAAATGTTCACTTGCTGCCTAATATATCCTACCCACAGGTGTTATGATAACAAGATAATCAGTGTCATTCACTTCACCAGTCAGTGGTCATAATCTTATGGCTGATCAGTGTAATCTAGGCATTCATCTGTCATCTTATTGCATATCAATGCTGTTCCAGTTGATTGTCCTTGGTAATAAGAATGATGAATAGGATTAAACTTAGGATAGGAACACACTATTTTCTACACTGGTGTTAAAGATGTGGCAACACATCCAGCTAAACAGTTTGCCACCAATTTCAAGAGAGTTCCATCTAAATTATCCATCCCCCCTGGTTTATTAATATTTATATTTAATAATTGTTGTTCCACTTCTATTTCATATTTCATTTCTGTCTGTCATGAGTTTTTGTAATAATGTTGTTGTGATTCTGGACTCATGGGAAATGATTCAAAGATGGCATTTCCGGCCCAAATTTGTCCACTTTATTGATAAAAAATGATAATTTGCTATTTCTTGTAGTCTTATTCGAAATGAGTCACCTGTATCGATAAAAGCTGGGGGTTGGCTTTTCATCCTATTTTTTCAAATAGGGTACAGTACCTGCCTCCCCTCGCCCCTCCTTGTAGGTCCACAGAGATCAAACATAACTGTTTTATCATTGTGCATGCTTTTCCAAAGTGTATATATCCCGGTGCAAGCTGTCGATTTACATCAGGGTAGAGTTAGGGGTTTGGTTGGTGGTTATTTCTCTCAGACAGCATGACGTCCGCGCAGAGGTGGCCAGAGCAGGGTTGGGTACTCTTGCAACTATTGTTGGTGGCGTCGTTCTCTCAGGCTGAGGAGCCGGTGTGTAGGTGGAGAGGGGATACTGAGAACCCCCAGCTATCCAAGGATGGGGACATTATCTTGGGGGGGCTCTTCTCTTTCCATAGCACGTGGATAAACCGACAGGATAACTACATGCACAAACCACCTCCACTGCAATGCACCAGGTAAATTATACAGTAACATCTATTTCTATTAAAATATCTAAAACGAAATGAGTAGAGATAAAAACAGGTCCAAATAAGGTTATCAAACAGAATATTAAAATAAGAAATACTCAGTTGTGTGTATTAATACCATAAAAAGATTTTATTTACTATGTAATTGTTCCTATTTCAAGGTTAAAATTGGTTGCATCCCAAACTATTTATAAATATCCACATAAAGTTTGCATTTCAGAGAGTTCCAGTTTGCCCAGGCTATGCTTTTTGCCATAGAGGAGATTAATAACAGCACAGACCTACTGCCTGGCATCTCTCTGGGCTATAAGATCTATGATGTCTGTGGCTCCATTGCCAGAGGTGTGAGGGTCACACTGGCCTTGGCTTCTGGTAATGAAGTGGTATTTGCACCCTCCGAGGCACCATGTAATGGACCTGCCCATGTGCAGGCAATTATGGGAGAAACCTCTTCTTCTCCTTCCATGGCTATATCTACTGTTATTGGACCCTTTTATATTCCAATGGTAGGTAAGATTGGTGAAAATGAAAAAAATATATATTTGTGAAAAAAATAATTATTGTTCTGTAATTTTTCCACCTGGTTATAATAGCAAATTGGCATTTGAAAAATTAGTAGTGTGTGGTTTAAATGTTTTAAATTTTACTTCTTTATCTTGGGATATCATTTCTTTTTTCTTTTAGATCAGTCACTTTGCTACTTGTGCTTGTCTCAGCTGAATAACAACCAAAGTCCCATCCTTCCTGAGAACAACTACCCCAGTGACACAGACGGAAGCCCTGGCTCAGTTGGTCAAGCACTTTGGTTGGACTTGGGTTGGAGCTATTAGAACAAATGATGATTATGGCAATAACGGCATGGCCACATTCACAGAAACTGCCCAGCAGCTGGGCATCTGTCTGGAATACTCTGTATCTGTCTTTAGAACAGATCCACCAGACAAAATACAAAAGGTAATTGACATTATCAAGGCCTCCACTTCTAAGGTGATTGTCGCTTTCCTCTCCCACATGGATATGGATGTGCTAATACATGAGTTGTCTCAACACAACCTGACTGGGTACCAGTGGGTAGGCAGTGAGAGCTGGATTTTTGATTCCCAAACTGCAGCCATGGATAGGCATCACATTATGGATGGTGCCATAGGCCTGTCCATCCCAAAAGCACATGTCAGTGGCATGAAAGAGTTCATGTTGAATGTGAAGCCGCTCAATTCATCAAGTAATGAATTGTTTACAGAGTTTTGGGAGACATTATTTAGCTGTAAGTTCAAGCAGTCAAAGTCATCAACAGGGAATCAGAGAGAATGTACTGGAGATGAAGATCTGAGTGGAGTGCAAAACAGCTTCACTGATATGTCGCTCATGCCGATCTTTAACAATGTCTACAAAGGAGTGTATGCTGTGGCTCACGCACTTCATGATATTCTGAATTGTAATGAAACATGTAACAACACAGTGCAACTAGATCCATTTACGGTGAGTTGAACACCAACAACTTATATTACAGTTGTTTCCATTAAGTCACAGCAACAAAGAAAATGTATTACATTTTTAAAAGTACATGAACAGATCTACAACATGTTTGTCAGATAATGATCTACATTGATGTATATCTTCTTAGATTTTACAGCACATAAAAAAGATTCAGTTCAAAACGAAGGATGGAGATGAGGTTTACTTTAATGAGTATGGAGACCCAGCAGCAAAGTATGAAATTATAAACTGGCAGCCAACAGAAAATGGCATTGTGGACTTTGTCACAGTTGGTTTTCATGATGCATCTTTACCTGCAGACAAACAGCTCAATCTGCAAAATAAGTCTTTAGTTTGGGCACAAAACTCACAAAAGGTAAGATATATTTGTTAAGGATAGTCTATTTGAATTGTTATTGTTATATATGTTATTAGTTATTCCTGCATCATAATATTTCAATAACTCATAATTAACAGATGCTTGCAAAGACGTTGTCTGTATATTTTGTTCATGCAGGTGCCAGTGTCAGTTTGCAGTGAGAAATGTCCTCCAGGAACTCGCAAAGTTCTCCAGAAAGGAAAGCCTATCTGCTGCTACGACTGTTTAAGATGTGCAGAGGGAGAAATCAGCAACATTACAGGTGTAGTAATCTTTAATTCAATATGAAAAATGAGTCGCCATGTTCACATGCCAAGGTTGATTTCAAAAGTATGAAAGAAATTACTAGCCAGAATTTATTTCAACCTCCCATGAAACTGCAGTCTCACAATGTGGAGATTTGCTGCTTTTCTCTTTAATTCATTTTCATTCATATTTCTGAGGTTAGTATTACTGTTGATTGGACAAAATAAGCATATCAATGTGTCACTTTGGGTCTGGGTAATTGTGACATCATCATTCAATATTTTGAGAATTTTTACAAACCAAATCAAATAATGGAGAAAATAATCATGAGTTGGAGTCCTATAAAAAAACAACAACATGAGCTCTATCTCAACAAACTACAAATATAAAATCCTGCTTTTATATTAATGCATTACTAATAATGATCTAATTATAGAACAAAAAAATACTTTTTTACGTTTTTGCACAAATGACGGATCACTTGATTGAGATTGCTGCAGTTGAAAGGTCTAAAATCATATCAGTTAAGGGTTACAAAGATCTTTAAGCCTGAAATTAAAAACGGCGCACTGGCAATCCTACATTTGGAGCTCTCGTCTTGTAAATGAAGACATCCTGTCTCAGAATATTAGGTGTTGATATTGATGTATAAACTGTGTGCCCCACTGATAACAATGAATTATCATTTGGGCAACAATTGGATGCAGTGCCCACAAATGTAAATAGCTTACTAGCAGGGCAACCTGGGCTCTGAAGAACTTACAGTGCCCCCCCACCTCTTGGTTTGAGGATGATGTGGAAGTCTGCAGTGCAGGTTCCCCTCCTACCTGGTCAAAATGTTTTTGCCGACAGCCAAATGAAAGTGGCCTACATCCTGTAGAGGATTTTCAAACATTCATGGTAGGGAGCAGGTTGCTTGTGTGTCACTCCCTCTGGTGGATCCAGCCCTCTCTCCATTGGTTTCTTCCTCCAGTGTCATTCTTGGCAAGGCCACTTTCCCAAGCAGAAACTGCAGAATTCTAGATGGCCTGCTTGCTAGGCTGCACATAGCTATGGCAGCACAGACCCGTTTAAGACTCTGTTAATACTGTGGCCATTATGTGCCTCTACCTTTGTCACAAGGGTGTAGAGGGTTCCAGCCTTGTGTGTAAGCTTCAAACAGCTTCCTCATACATCTCTCTGTTATGAAGGAGCAGGCAGAAGTTGCAGACAGCGCCTTGGCATCTATTAGGTTTATAAAAAAGCACCTGTGGCAACCTCAGTCCCAGCTTCAGCAAGGGGATGACTGAACATGCAGTTAATGTCAACACACTAAATTTACTGAAAGTGAATATTATTATAGTTTTGCTACAGTATTGAAAATGACAACAGCATGGTACCTTTAAAAGAACAATATATAATGTTTTTTTTTCAGAAAATAAAGAAAATGATGCCTCTTTATAGTGTATCTTGTACTTAAACGATCCAAACCCTTCATTATGATACTATATACCTGTTATATGTATATTTTAATTTTTTATATGGAAATAATTAAGTGTCTGTCTTGTAGGCAGAGAAACAATGCATCATAGAGACAAAGAAAGACAAGTGCACTGATGAAGTCTAACACCTGTGTCAATATTATTTTTCAGATTCTATCACCTGTGTGAGATGTGACCCTGAGTTCTGGTCAAATAAGGGAAGAGATACCTGTGTAAAGAAGGAGGCAGAGTTTCTATCATATGAAGAGATTATGGGAGCACTGCTTACTGCAGCCTCTCTATTTGGAACATGTATGACTGCT